AATGGCAAAAAGGGGGGGGGGGGGTAATGTGTCCTTTGATGTTTACTCTTGCATTCCTTCTTCTGGGCCATATATTAAAGGAGCAAGGAGAGATCAGATTAGCTGACAGATAGCAGTGTATTTTAAAATCAATGAATTCCTCTGTGTTCATCTGTTTGGAAGTGGAAATTTGAGGCCCAGTGATTGAAACTCTGAGTTGCTGAGTATTCAGCAATCTTCCTTTGGAATACCAGAGGTGAGTGCTCAAAAAAATTACCGTAGCAGCCAAACTACAAACAATACGAGGGACAATAAAGTTTCCCTGACCTCTCAGACCTGAAAGAGAGATGGGGAAAAACATTATTTAAGCCTGTGAAGATATTGCAGTGAAATATCACTTAATTAGAACTTAACCAGCAGAAGTAAGAGGCTGAGGCATTCCAGTGAGTCCACTGGGCTAACATTTGACTTCACCGAGACAAACATGACAGGAAGCATTTATTTCCTTGAGCTGTTTTTTGTTTTGCAGGTATGCCATTGGTATTTCCTACAAGTCAGCACCGAAGCACGAGTGGATCGGGAAGAATTCTGCCTCCTGGGTGCTTTGCCGCTGCAATAACACGTGGGTGGTGCGGCACAACAGCAAAGAAATCCCCATTGAGCCCGCGCCTCACCTCCGGCGGGTTGGTATTTTGCTGGACTATGACAACGGCTCCCTTGCTTTTTACGATGCTTTGAACTCCCTACACCTTTACACTTTTGACATTACATTTGGGCAGCCGGTGTGCCCCACGTTCACTGTGTGGAATAAGTGTTTGACCATTATAACTGGCTTGCCTATCCCTGACCACCTAGACTCCTCCGAGCAGCTCGCATGACTGCTAAAAGCCAAAAGGTAGGACGACGCGTCTTCCCAGGGCAGCCAGGCAGCTGTCCACAGGAGCTTGTCCAGAACTGGCGGACCGCGTGGCGTCCTGGTCATCACTGCCGAATTTGGACAGAACTGAAAAGGGCAGAATATCTCTTTACTGTGTACTTTGTATGGAAGGACAAGAAGTGGCTTTAATAATATCTTAGAACTTTCTTTTGCAGTTGGTTTTGGTTGGTTGGTTTTGTATTACAGCAAGATTTATAAATTATTTATAAAAAAAAAAAAAAAAGAGAGAGAGAAGGATAAGCCTGGTTTGGACACCTGGAAAATGACTTATTTGTTTTGCACATTGATGGTCCTATTAATTAAAGTTTCATCAGCCCTTTACATCATTTTATTTTACAGTGGATAAAAGCAGGAAATTGGAAGGATGAAAACTGCAGTGGACAAGTCAGTATACTGCAGGTTTTACTCATGCCAATATTAGCGCACTCATTACCAGTCTTATTGAGTGCGAGATCTCCTAATTTCTGCTTTGCACATGGGAGTGTGCAGACCAAAAAGAACAAAAATAAGCAAGTGAGGAAGTGGAGCTAGCCAACACACCAAAAGAAGAAAGTTTAATTTGCTTCTGTTCACAGGGCAGTGCTCTCTCTGTTCATAAAAAACATGTGGAATATCTCCTAGAAATGTGAGTGGATAAATCATCTGGTGATTTATTGTATTGATGGCAACATTCCCATCTACCAGTGCTTCGCTTCCGTCTTTGGGAAACATTGTAGAATCACTGAGGATGTGAAAGACTGATACCATCTCTGAGAATCAGCAACACTGGAGGAGAGCAGCCAATCCAAGGTCTGACTGTAGACTAATTTGATAAAGCCCGGCATCATTTAAGGATTGATTGTAATAGAAGATGTCACAGTTCTGATCGTAGACATGTGAATGCTTATTGCTGATTTTACAAGGTTCAACATAGCAAGCCCAGCCAACAACTCGGAAGCGAGACATGCGCCACTTTACCATTAATTTTAAATTAAATACAAATGTTTCATTGTCATACACTATGTAGTCTCTATAACAAAGCAAGGAAATCTGTTTTACATCTGTTGTATGGAGAAACACTGCAGCTGGAGTTTGCTCATAGTTATCATTGTCCCGGGTTGTTTGGGAAAGCGCAGTTCTCTTTGTGAATGAGGAGTAAATAGCAAGTTTTCCACAGCAGTAGGAATCTGCATGGGCAGGTCCTGCATTCATCCTGGTGTTGGTGGATGAACGTTGGTGAAGGCAACAGAGGTTGTACCTACTCTATCTCAAAGCTGAATCAGGTGCATTTTTTTTTTTCAAAAGAATAGAAGCCCTTAGTAATTACTACAATGCTTATGTATAAATGATCATTTTGGGAGATGCTTGAGGCATATGACAACTTTAGAAGAATGGTTTTCCTACAGTGTTTTGTCGTTACTATGCAAATGGGGAAAATCTGCCTGTGTAGAAAAAAGATAAATTGAATATCAGCTTTAAGAAAAGATTTGCTCAGTAATTTATAACCATGCTTTAGGTGTCTTTTGAAAAGGATGCCTTAATGCACTTTGTTCACTAACGGGTCCAAAATAAAATGGTCCCAAGCTTAGCTTCAGATTTTTTAAATACTGACTCTCCAGGTACAAAGCTGTACTACAGTTTGCCTTATGATGATATAGAAAACTTACAAGCAAGATGAAGAATGCGTACATGCCTATTTTTCTTTTCCTTTTTTTATTAGAAAATAAATGCTTCTCCATGTTCCTTTGATTTCCCTTTACATGCCCTGCTAACTGCTGAATTAAATGCAGAGAAGTCTGGCAGTACGTTGTTGGTACCATGGCTTTCAGCTGGGGCAGCATCCCATGGTTCACAGGTAGGAGCCGCTGATCTTTCCAGACTTGACATAAATAAGGGAAAGTGTGTACCTATAGTGAACTTCAGCGTTTATCATAGTGTCTTTAAGAATCAAGAAACCTATATACCCTCAAAAATGAAAAAGTAAATAAATCCCCAAACATTACATTTTATAATTGAGCACAATGTTACGGATACAATCTGATGTATACTGCCCAGATTATCTGGCCTGGGATGTTTGGGAGGTAGCTGAGATGGCATGAAAATTATTATAATGGGTTGACAGGAGATGACGACTAATGCAAAGTAGTGATAAAAAGATGCAGGAGGAAAGGAGTTTTAATCTAGGATTGTTGCCAAGTTTCTGCCTAAAAGGAAAGGGTGTATAACCAAAGTACACGTAGCAAGGCTGTGTATCTTCTCTTTTTGCCAGAAATATTAAACCTAGAAGCTGATTTCAGTAGTGGACAAACTGAAAACACTGTTCAGTGTTTGGCCATATAATGTTGGCAGAGATTGAGCTGGATGGAAGTAATACCACGAATTTGGAAAGATCCCAAATGATCTCACCTATTTTCATTGTAAGGATAGACCGTGAGTCTAAAGACAGATCATGGTTTTGGCCAATGGAAAAAGAATGGTCTGTTATCTACAGGCCTTGTTATATCATTTTTATTTTAACACACAATACTTCATTTGGAGCTAAGCCACATTTCTCCAGTAGACTATTCATTCAGTCAGTACTCTTTGTGCATATATGTTTGTGTACATATGTACGCATATGTATGGGTACAGACATGCCTGTATATGCACAAATATGGTGTGTAATTTGTGTATATGCATACATATATATACACACACAAACTGACAGTAACTAGTCAGGTGTTCCTTTTTTGCTTGTTTCTTGAACAATTTCATATTCTGTATGACTGAGGAAACAAGTTTGCTATGAATGGTATTCTTCTGGATATTTTTTAACGAACAAAATCTGTTTATTTTACAATACTTGATTCAATGCCTGATCAATCAATAAAAAAATCCATTTGAAATTGTAGCTTCTGTGGTCTGTGGCATTTTGCATGATCCATAGTAATCAACTGAAATCTGGCGATAATCTTCGTGTAAAAATAAAACATGGTACTTTAATGTAGCATGCAGTCTTAGATGAGGGTTTTTCCCTGATTTTTGAGAGTTTTGTGACTAGGAATGAGGTAGTATTGTATAATGCCATGTTTGACAAAGACAGATTTTTGAGGAATAGTCGGCTGAGATGCAAGCAATGAATGTAGTAGATAAAGCCTGTGTTGGTATAATGATTGTTTCAAAGGTGTATTTAAAACCCAAGTTGGGATTCAGCAGAGCTAGAGCAAACTATAGCACAATCTCCTTAGAGACAGTAGCATCGGCTCAGAGTACTCAAAGCTTGAGGTAATGGAAGGGTGGGGGACATTTTTCTGAGGCCAGATAAGATTTTCCATGTGTTAGGCTCCCATGTGTTAATACACGTCTAATGGAGGAAAAAAAAATCATTCACGAATGGGCTGTATGTCATAAATCATTTAGTAGACTCTCTCCAGCCCACTGTAGTTTCCCATCGTTGATTTTCAGAGAGCAACAAAGTTGCTGCATTTTGTGCCCTGAGTTTATTCTTTGTCTGTTTTGGGTATCCCATTTCTCAATTGCTCAGCGAAGAGACCCCCACTGAGCAGTGGGTCCCAAGAGTAGGAAGCATAAAAATCCCTCAGGTGAGGGGACTCTGTGAAAAGCTGCAAGTACGGGTGAAAACACATGCATGTTCTTCATGATATTAGCAATAGTGGGTCACTGAACAGCAGTGTGCATCATCTGTTTTAATCCTGTGTCTTAATTGCAAAGACTATATACTTTCCAGGTTAGGAAACGTAACAGAACACTATTGACAGCGCAAATTAAAGTGTCAGCTCTTTAACCAGTTCATTTTGAGATGGCCAGCATTTATAGCACTATGAAGAACTATTGCCTGTGGGAGGTTTCATTAAACTATTATTTGACATGAAACACAGTTATAAGTATTTCTTTCTTAATAATTCTGATAAAGCGGATGTCTAGTACTTCCCAGATTCTGCTTTTAGTTACAGCAGCAAAAATTCCAGATAAGCCCATGCACCAAAACAGAGTGAGAATTGCTAATGGCTCTCATCTGTGTTACCAAAACTGAGGCTATTCATTTTAATTGGAAACACTGTCTTCATTTCTGGTGTAGGAGTGAAGAAGTGTTGGACCCACACCCAAAGTACACACTGGCCCATCTCAGTAACTGGCCAGGGCACGCCTGGCCTGAAGGCCATCAGTGGGGCAGCTTTGGGAAGCCAGTGATAAACAAAAAACATGCAGGGGTTGCTTACGTGGTGATGTACTGGCAATTTTCTTGTAACACCATCTCTAATGTCTACTCACATACTGATCTTTCTAGTAGTAGAAGTCTGTATTAAGATACAGGAATGTAAAATGCCGTATTTTCCTGTGTTATTGGCTTGGTTGCCCGTTTAGAAATTAGCACAGTGTTCTGAACTTCAGCCTTAAATTTTGTCTTCTCCACATGGAGGAAAGCCCCGGTCACTCCCAAGTGCTGATGGTGGGTATTCTAGATTATGCTGAGCTCTTTGTTTTTATTGCGCTTTCTGAAGCAAAAGAAACTCTCTTTACATTTCAACCTTTGATTTAGCCCTTGATTTTCATATAAAAAAATTAAGAGACTAAAGAGCAATGATGTTAACAATGCTTCACTGTGGATGAGACTCTTGGTTTGGACTGTGAGGCTTAAGGCATCTGTGTACATAAATCTCTGGGCCAGGATAGACTCATTTGTCATTCACATGGGAGTGGAACAGTACAGGTGCAAGTGTTTTCTTCTGAAGTAGGCTTTTGCATTAAGTCCACTCTTGGAATGGAATATTCTGTTTCTTTAATTTTTTTTTTCAATTGGTTTTCTGATTCAAGTACAGACCATGTTAATAAGACTGTAAGTAATATAATCTTTCATCATGTTACTTATTTTAGCAAGCCCTACTGTGTCATGTGCCTCTGGCAGATCGCTGAACACATCAGCTGCAACCATAACCTTTGCAACATCACCTCCAATGTGTGGACCGATGTTTAAGCCATTGATCAAGTATATAACCTTCCCAGGTGGGATCCATCTTGCTTTGAGTAAAGAACTCTAGCACAAACGGTGTTAGCAGTTCAAGGTGAGAAGCTCATATGTTTCACAAAGATGATATAGGAAAGATAGGGGCTTGAATACCATCACCATTGAGGTAGTTCTGGTATTAGGAAGGCATGAAGTCTTCTACCACAGTATGATCAACAGTGTCATTGCTGCTGCCTGAGAGAGGGACGGAGGTAGCAGAAGAACGAA